ATGGCTCTAATGGCTTCTTGGTGCCCGTGAAACTCGTGAGCTAGCTGGTTTGGGAGAACCGCCATTTTGCCTGCTTTGCCGGGGGAGGTCGGACACCTCGTCTACGCATGCGCAAAAGTTGAAACCTAGCCCCGCCCATTTACCATCTCATGCTCAGCATTTTGGAAGAAGAGGCCCCAAAAAGCATTAGAACCGGATTCTCACTGAACTAGGAGTAATAATAAAGAGTAGAAGATGATCATCACGGTCAAGACCTTACAACAGAAGACTTTTAAGATAGAGATAGAGGAATCAGCCTCGGTAATGGAAGATTTTGTGTACATGTATATTTATACATGTAATTATGTTACTTTAAATGTCCTTAAATAAGAAGGTTATTGTAAAGCTACATGTAAGTGTATGAAAAGTTTACAATAAAAGGCAAATACTGGTTTTTAGTTGAAGATAAAACAAGTAATTGCTAAATGTACCGAATCACTTTTATTAATAGTCGATCCATTATTCCTAATGGAATTGATTCTACCGCTTAATTTTTTAGGTTTTAGATTTGAAAAAGGCAATAGAGGCGAACCAAGGAGAAGCATTCCCAGCTGCAGGCCAGAAATTAATATATTCAGGTAATTGATTTAATATTTAGTATCATTAACATTCTAATAATAATAATAACAATAATAATGATTCTATTCCATTCAAAATTTTGTTAATGTAAAAATGATAATGACACTATTTCAGCAATGCAGTACTTTATTTATATTGGTTGTGTGTACTTTTTTTTGAAATCATGAAATTCAAACATAGTTATTTTTTGCTGAGATGAAAGTTGCCTCCATAGCTCAGCGGTTAGAGCACTGGTCTTGTAAACCAGGGGTCGAGAGTTCAAATCTCTCTGGGGGCTTTTTATTTTCTTTTTTTTCTTTCAAAATTGCTCACGTATTTTTTTTCAGGTAAAATTTTAAATGATTCCCAGCCGCTATCAGACTACAGTATCCAGGAGTCGAATTTTGTCGTTGTCATGGTGAGCAAGATAAAACCACCTCCTGCTCCGACGCCAAAACCACAAGAAGTAATTTAATTTATTTATTTAGTCACCAAACTTATTCTTCCTCTTTTTTTATAGACTTCCAGCACCTCTAGCAGTAGTACCCCATCCACAAGTGGTGCTACGCCCCAACCATCGTCCAGTGCAACAGCTCCAACTACCACTAGCGCCCCAAGGTCCGTCTATATTTATATATTTTTAGAAAGATTTGTGTAGCACCTTTAGCAGCTGTTATTTTTAAAATTATTTGCAGTTATTTCCCAAGAGATTATGCCTATTAATTATACTATTAAACATACTTACATGATATGCCACTGATAATCTTATAAGTACTGTATATGTGAGTTATGTGAATATACATGTAATGTACTTTATATTGCATTATTATATGATGTAAAGTTAAAGTTATGTCCACTTTGCCCTTAGTAGCAACTTTAACTATATATGTACAAGTACATGTACATGTATATGTGTGTGAGAGAGAGAGGAAATAGATTAACCTTATTTTATTTGTTTTAAATGACAAAAGGAAATTTTTGTTATTTTAGTTCCACAATGATTTTTCATTATAACTTTTCCAATGGCCTAGCTTATAAGAATCAGCATTTTAAACATAATAATAATAATAATAATAATAATAATAATAATAATAATAATTGTTATAAGGGTGGAACATATTCAAAAGACGGTGTTGTTGGGGACTGCGAATATCATTAGACGGACTATACAATGATCACTAATTATTATCTATGTTTACTTGTTGTGAACCGATAATTTTTGTAACTTCTGGCTTGCTTTCGCAAGCTGTGTGTGTGTTCATAATAATAATAATAATAATAATAATAGCTGTCTTAGATGGCCAGATCTAGCTTTTTCTTTTCCTTAGCTAATTTTTCTTTCTTATTTGTTTGTGTTTCCTTTTTGTTAGTTTTGGGGTTTTTTGTTGTCTCCTCTGGGTTCTTCCTCTTTCCCCTAGTATATTTTCTGGTTCTGGTCATTGTGTTTGTACATGTACATTATTTTTATAACAATAATAATAATAATAATAATAATAATCACTTTATTAATTTCTTTGTCTAGTGGTACAACTGGTACTGAGTCCACTGATGCCGGAGCTGGTGGGGGACAGACGAGCTCAACGGCCTCCTCATCCTCAGAATTTGACCAAGCCTTGTCGACACTAGGTATGTCACATGACACCATCACATGTGACACACACACACACACACAATAAATTCTCATTATCTGTATTTTTGGTAAATTTTACTTTTTAAAAATTAATGTGCAAA